ATAATTGAATGCAATAATTTTGGATATATGTTCAATATATCCAAAGATGTTTCCTTACTTTAAAGAGTTTCATTACGATGACTTTATTTGGTTAAGCGTACAGCCTTCAATTTATTTATAGAACGGGGTTGTGCCAAATGGATTTATTCCAGGTAAAAAATAAAATGCATAAGTACTTTCAAATCAATAATTATTGTGGTCACTCCTTTAGAAAATTATTTCTTAAGAACTTAGCTTTAAAAATATGCAAATATTAATTTAAATCATTATAAATGTTGTGATTGTGATTATTAAAATATAATTATATCAGGTAATAATAGAACAGTTCTATATTGAAGACATTGATATATCAATATATTGATATTGATATTGGATATATTTAAGCAGAATTAGAAATATTTCTTATGTAGTATACGTAAATCTTCATGAGGAACATATGTCGCAATCACTAAACGCCAACGACAAATCAGTAGATATCAGATACTAACCTCTAGAAGACAACCAAAATGATTGAAAAAACAACAATCAAGCGGAACGGTTATGCATTTTAGTATGTAGACGAATGTAGATTTAGTGTGAAGACGTACTCTTATAAAAACCTGTAAGCTACTGCTATCTTTCATTGAAATGAAATGCAACTGTATATATGAATTCTACTTTCAATTATGTATTTTAAAATCTGGCAACCAGCGGCTACAATCTGTTGGTGAAGGTATGAAACGGATGTTTCAAGAAGAGACAACTCGCTGCAATATAGAAAGTTAAGACCTATTTAGGTTTCGAAAAATCTTTTTATAACAAAAATGCAAAAAAATTTAGAAACCTTAGAGCTTTGCTCTAATAATAATATACTAATAAATAATAAAATATTACACTACTATATTATACTACTATATTACTATATAAAGTTTCTAAATACTTTTGCATTTTTGTTATAAAAAGGTTTTTCGACCTTATACTACTGAGTATATTATAATAAAGTAATATATTACTATACATATGTTGGCGAACAAAAATTTCTAGTAATCCGGTATGAGTATGGAAGCCTATGAGAATATTATTGTTGTTTTCTCTAAGTAGGCCGACGTTATTTATACTGATGAATAATGAATTTTAATCGGTGTTAACATATTCAATCTATATCAGGATGTAATCAGGATGTAATACAAGACCCGTCCTTTCTTTAAGATAAGTTTGGAATTGTAAGTTATCTACAAAAATAGACAATTTCTGTGATGTGTAATGGAAAGTTTTTTAAAAATTTTACTTAAAATTTTACGGAAAACTGTTTAGACCTTTTTGGATTTGTGTATATATTTATATATATATTTCGAAGAATCCATCAAATTTCTATATCGTATTTAGAATACTATTTCTGAGTGTAGCGTAGAGAAATGAAGTCAACAAAATCAACATCAATGATGAATGTTATTTAAGCGTTATTTATCAACCACTCAACATTTTAATGTAAATGTGGAGAAAGGATGTGGCAACACTCACATTTGGAGACTATTTCGTCAATCCAGCTGCACTCCTTCGTTATCAAAAGATGCAAAGCAAACGAAAACGGAAAGTTTAAGCAAAAATTATTTAAAATTACGTTACGCGCACTTGAACGTTGCTTCAGAACTGAAGTGCAACGCTTGTGCTTCAATATTTGCTCAACGTTGCACTGCAATCTGCACTGACGTGCAGATATGCAAGTATTTTGCACTTTAATAAATTACATTAAATACTCTCAAATTGTTCAGATTTAATATTAATATGAAAATATTTTTAACTCCTTATATGTACACAAATTTTCAGACTTTTAACTAAAAAAATTTGCAGAAATCGTACAATGGTTGCAGTATATAGAATCAGGAGCGGACTAACTTAATTTGCGGCTCTTCATGGTCCACAAGATATATTAATATTAATAGTTTTCGAATAGCAAGTTAAACTATTATATATACTGACCTTTTTAAAATAGAAGGTGTGACGGTACTATTTTTGAAACCGTGCTTTTGAAATTTATGCAAGTCATTTGTCAATGCACTGATTCGGCCCTGTGTGAATTTGCACTTAATTTGAGTAATTCCTACTTCAAGATTTAATTAATTAAATTTATTTGTCATTTATTTTTACTATTTAAATAAAAGCATTCAATTGTTTTAAATAAGGTTTGAATTTATTTAGTTTAATCCAATTAAATCAAACAACCGAAATATAAACAAGATTAATTTTTTGGCACTTAGCTTGATGCTTTCATTGGAAAAAAGTAAATTTGGAAAAGCTTTTAAGAACTCTGCTTCCAAAGGATTTAACACCTGAAAACTTAATTAATAGGATTTGGAAATAATTGAGTGTGTTTGGTTGTTTACTTTAAAACGCACTATATGCTGCCTAATGGCTGTGTATTTCAGTCATTACCATTCCGCTCAGCTCCCCTCAGTGTACATGTAAGCAACTGAATAAAATTAAATAGAAATTCTAACAAAACTTCAGCTTTTTTTCGAATGTGATTAATTGCGTTTGTAATTTCATTTGAAAATTCACTTACTTTTTTTTTTGTTTGAATTTTTCATTTAAAGACAACACTCCGAAATGTTGGATAGTTGGGGTGAGGTGCGAGAAAGTAGCAAATATTGCTTCCCAACACTGATGATGATGACGATTTCCTTTGGGATGCTCTGATAATAGCTGCGTGCAAATAAAACATAGTTTGATTGTTGTTGCAAACAGTGCTGCCACCTAATGTGTGTATGTTTGTGTGTAAATGCCGGCTTAAATAGTCGTCGCGAATGACACAGTGCTAATGAAGTTTGTTGCAGTATCGCGCTTCATGTCTCTTTTACTGTTGCTGACATCGAATAATTTCTGCTAGTCTGGCAACATTGTTTGTCGTTGTATGTTCGTATATTTGTTGCTGTTTTTGGTGTTGAGTATGAAGAGTTGACGTTGACAATGATGACATGATGATGCGTATGTGCTTAAAATTGGTTGGTTTGGTTTGAGGTACACTAAATCGCAAACATCTGGCAACATTTAAACTATTTTCGATTTACTTACTTCCAGTTGATAAATTATATTTGAAATTCTGTACAAATTTACTTGTAGTTCACTGGTTTATATGTCGAGCATGTTGAAGTTGATGAAACTGATGAATGTGTTCCTTTTTGGAATAATTTAAGTTGAAAGTTTGTACCATTACCCAGCATATAGGCAAACTATATTACATTTTATAAACTTTCTAAGGAAATTTAATTTATTTACACATTCGTTGTTTCACATCCTATGAATTAATTTTATTCTCAAATTGTGTTAGTATTTTATTTAATCAGCACTTGAGCTCTGGTGTACTGAAGGCGCGAACTTAATTAAATGTGGTTAATTCAATTTGTTTTTCCTGATGGGATTTTAATTGAAATCAAATTTGAAAAGGTGGTAAAGTTACAGAGGTTTAAAAGACTACAAAAATGAAAATTTGAATTAAAAAAAAATATTTTAATTAACATCTTAATTGTTAGAACTTTTTAAATGATTAAGAATGTTTTAGTTTGAGTTTCATAAAATAGAGAAAATTATAAAGTTATATAGAAAAAATAAAGTCAGGAAAAGCTATTTTAAGTGAACATCATATAGCGTAGTGAAATTAGAATCAACCAATGTTAAGTTACTCGAATGTCGGCATTTCAAAGAATCCACTTAGACTCATAGGTTTAAAACCCACCTTGAACTTTTCGAAAATTAGTAAATTTCATCGATAATTTTGAAGAAGACCATATTTTTGATGCAATATTATTATAATATATATTATTATTTATAACGAAAACAAATCACGAAACTTTTGTTTTGAGCACCCCAAGGGTTTGATATCAGATATCTTTGAACTAAAACCATGATGTTTGTTTTTAGTTCTTCATGACAATTAGAAAATTTTATGAACATTAATTATGGTTTTTCAAACTAAAGTTGACATGGACTGTCTGGATGATTATTATCAGTAGCAGTACTTAACAGCTATCGATAAAAAGTTATCTTTTCTAACTTCAACAGTTTTTTCAAGAGCAACTTAATTATCAGAATGCAATATATAAAGAACCTATAAACGTAATAATAGTTGTGGAGTAGTAATTATATTTATCTGATAATGGGAAAGCCTTTTTTTTATAGCACTTATCTTTTCTTTAACTATCTGGGAATATATTCAAATGTTATTGTTTGAATATTTCTTAAAAAGTATAAGGTTGACATTTAAAAAAGTTGTTATAAGAAGGAATTAGTATGTCCAAAACATCAGCTTATATGATGGCTAAAATAAAATTTAGTGGATACTAAAAATATTATTCACACATATAAACACAATTTCAATAAAATTTTTTTATCAAAAAATTAATTAAAATTAATTTACATATATATATGACATTTAACTAATTCCGATTATAATTTTTGGATCACACCCATAAAGTCTACGCGTTTTGTTCGATTCATATAATTCTAAAAGAAGGCAAGCTTGCATTGATAAATGCACACAGCCGAAGAAAGCTAGATTGATTCATCTTATCGAGTTGTTGATGTACCTTATTAGGTCTCCGACTTTTCCTCTATATAATAAATATCTTCACTAAATCAATGTTCTTTGCTGACACTATGCTAGCGTACAAAGTGAATGACTCGCAAATTAAATAAAAATAACAACAATCGTATAATCGGAATACAGACGTCTTCTGCTCAGTGAGTGGCCAAAAATTAAATAAAGGGGGTCTAGCGTGTCTCTTTTATGAAATACTCAATCTGTTGTATCGCTCTTAAATAGCAAAAAAAGAGACAATGACTAAACAAAATTTAATTAAAAATAAAATATTAAAATGTTTGGAATGACTTGCACAAATCAAATAGTCAACATGCGATGGCAAAAACAAATATTGTTGATGTGTTTATCAGTAAATATTATTAAAAATATATAAAAATCGTTGAGTTGATACAAATTTTTTAGTATAAAATTTTTACTTTGGAAGTACGGACATTTAATGATGATGCGGAGTCTAAAATTATTTAACAGCTTCATGCGAAAAGACAGGAATGCACTGAACTCGTTCCAATCTTTAATTACTAATCGAGTATGTTTTTTGCTGTTATTTCTAATATAATTTCAAAACAAATCAACCGGTCTGGATAATGAATTGAATTAATTTATGATATAAACAATTGTTTCTAGTGCTACTGTGTGGCAGCTATAAATCCCTTAACATGGGAGCATGCCAAACCGTTGAAAAACATACCAACTGTCGGTACTTATGAATTCATAGTTGGGAACTTACCTTGGGGTAAGTTCTACAAGAAAGACTTCGCAGATATAGTGCGTTTGTTGCATGAAGAGAAAGGTGATATATTTTTATGGAAAGGAATTTTCGGTCAGAATGATTTGGTGTTCACACAGACGCCGGATGATTTTGAAAACATTTTTCGTCATGATGGTATCTGGCCAGAGAGAAAATTTCTAGAACTGGCGACATATCATAGAAATGTATATAGAAAAGATTATTTTGGTGATGTTACAGGCTTATTAGCAAGGTAAATTAAAGAAGTAAAACAGATTTTTTCAATTTATTGTTTCAATTTATAATTAACATAAAAGCATTTGTAAGACTTAACAATAATAATTATTCACAGTGAGGGGAAAGCTTGGGGTGATCTACGTACATTGATAAATCCAATTTTAGTACATCCAAAAAATACAAAAATCTATTTGCCTTCGTTGAGTAAAATTAATCAGGAGTTTATTGACAAGTATGACGATTATTAATATCTATCTTTTCTATGTAATCTTATTCATCGAATCCAATTCTAGAGTTCGAAAAATACGAAATCCCGAAACTCTAGAAGTACCAGCTGATTTTGCAGATGAAATTAAACGTTGGACTTTAGAGTCAGTTGGCATGGTTGCATTAGATAAAGAACTAGGTTTAATAAATGGACATAATCCTGAAGCTATGGCATTTGTTGACAGTACACAGTTATTTTTCGATTTAACGGTAGAGTTAGAGTTTAAACCGTCTCTCTGGCGATATTTACCCAATAAAAAGTTTAACGAAGCGATGCAAATTTTGGATAATGTCATAGTATTTGCAACGAAATACATAAATGAAGCAATAGAAAGATTTGAGAAATCTCCCACCGATAAACCTGAAATAGAAAAAAGTGTTTTGGAAAAACTTCTAAAAATTGATAAAAAAGTTGCTATCATTACAGCTGTGGAAATGTTTACAGCAGGCGTGGATACGGTTAGTTCTAACTAAAAATTATGTCAATTGATTATCTTAATTATATTACAGACTTCAACTGCACTCATGGGACTTTTATTATGTTTGGCAAAAAATCCAGAAAAACAGGAGAAATTGCGTCAAGAAATTCTATCGGTCCTGCCAGAAAAAAATTCCGAGTTGACTGTGGAAAATATGAAGAATTTACCTTATTTACGTGCTTGTATTAAAGAAAGTTTACGAGTTTACCCTTTGGCAGTTGCAAATGTGCGTCAAACTGCTGAAGATTTAGTGCTTAGTGGTTTTCAAATACCTAAAGGTTCCAATGTTAATATGACGTCAATAAATTTGATAAAAGACTCAAAATACTTTTCACAACCCAATGAATTCATACCGGAACGTTGGTTAAGAAACGAGAATAAAGACGATACCTGCCCACATAATTCCGCTACAAAAAGTAATAATCCATTTATTTATTTACCATTTGGTTTTGGACCACGCAGTTGCATTGGTAGACGTATAGCTGAAATGGAACTAGAAATTGCAATTGCACGCCTGGTACGAAATTTTGGAATAGAGTTCAATTATCCTACGGAAAATGCGTTTAAGTGTTTGCAACTATACCTTCCCGTTATTCCAATGAAATTCAAATTTACGGACTTGAATTAAGAGATTAAATTAATCTAATGCCTCGTTTTCACTATGGCATTTTTAATGTCAAATAATGTCAGTGTAATGTCAATGAAAGTGGGTAGTCATATGATGTCAAATTCGCCTTCTTGTCATGAAATAGAAACGCATTTGACACACCAGTCAATTATAATTAAAATGACATAGTGAAAACAAGACATAAGAATTTTATAAGTTGTATATATTGTATTAATTTGTATATATTTAAAATAATTATTGTTTTTGAAGAAATCATTATATTCTTTATTTTGAATAAATGAGTTTAATGAATGAATTCATTAAATTTGAATGTTTTTTATAAATGTGTTTTATTTTTTAGTTTATTAGTTAGATTGAAGTGGTGGTCTTCTACACCAAAGCCCACTAGTTGTTAAATAGTCAAATGGGTTAATCTGTCATTACTTATATATGTATTGCTTCAGGAGTTACGAAACCCTAAAATTTTTCAAAACATTCTAATCTAAAATATCGTAAATGCAGTATCTCGTCATAATTTATATTGTATATAAAAATATATATTCTCACTGTGAAGGTTAGATTATTAGCCAACTTTTTAAAGTCTAATATTTGATATTGATAAGGAAATATCTGATAACCTATTAATTAGCTGATAAAATACAGTTTATCTATCGTGTGTTCACCAGCTGTTATGGTGATAACGGTATGTGCGTTAAAAGTAGAGAAGTACTTTACCGCTTTTTGTATTAGATACAGTATTATTAAACCTAGTAGTAATTTTAGAACAGTTCTTCTATCGTGTGTTCACTAGCTGTTTGCTATAGTGATAACGGTGTGTGTGTTAAAAGTACAGAAGTACTTTACCGCTTTATGTATTAGATATAGAATTATTGAACATAGTAGTAATTTCAGAACACACTTTTAAGATTAAGTAAAACAATATTTGACGGTAGCATCAATACTTTATTTATGTTATAAGATTAGCAAACCTCATTAAGCATTTTTTTTACATATAAAACTAAGTGTTCACACTGGAATTAAAGTAATGAATAGCAAAGCAAAACCAAAACGAAAATAAATCAAATTTGATATTAAAACAAAAAATTATTTAAATTAATTGATTAAAATTAATTGATTACTTCATTTAGATGTACTTGTAGGTAATGTCTCTGTTGTATTTTTTGTTGAGAGTATTTGAAAGCATTGGTACATGCGTAAAATTTTCATCTTAGGCTTAATATAAAACTATTCGTGACAGATGGTCCCAAAACTTAAAGATTGCCCAAATAATCAGGCTTCAGGTTATGGTTTCTAAAATGCTTCACCCATGTCCAGATATTAGAATTTATTTTTCATCATTAATCGCATATACAAGATTGTCATTTATTTATATATATCTCAATATATATATATATATATATATATTTATGCTCAATATATATCTTTATATTTAAAAGATCTGTCTAGTAAATACTTTCCTATATTGAGATATTAACTGTTTAAACAACAGTGTATGTTTGATGGATATTATTGGTATAATCGTTGTAATTTTTATCAAATAACAGATTTTTATCAAATAACAGATTTTTTTAATAATATCGGTATAATAATGACTTTAAGATTAAGCACTTAGTTTAGTACCGAATGAATGCATCGATTATTGTATATAAAATTTGTAAATTATATATTAATTACTCTTTTAAAGTAATAGTAATAAATAATAAATAGTAATAAAGTAATAATAAATCGGATTAAATTAAACTGATACTACAGCACAAATTCACGTAATGAATAAAATTATTCGACTTCATACCGCGACCGCTTCTATCTGACTGACTGCTTATAATGGTATTGTCTATAGTAATATTCATTAAAAATCGTTCTTCTTCAAGCATCACTCATTAATCAATAATTACGAAAAACATTTTTCCTCTCAGAGATTGTTTGAAACAAACATAAAAATAAATTAAAGACTAGTATTGAAACGAGTTTTGGTTTTGGCGAAACATAAGTACTCTACACACAGAGTCATTAAGTGTACTCTATAAAGAGTTTTGAAGTGGTGTCTAGATCATTAGTCCATATGCCAACAGTTAATACGAAAAACATTTTTAATTTTCTGAGATTGTTTGAAACAACCATAAAAATAAGTTGAAAGCTAGTATTGAAACGAGTTCAGGCTTTGGCGAAACGTAAGTACTCTACATACAGAATCATTATGTATATTTTATAAAGAGTTTGGAAGTGGTGTCTAGATCATTAGTTCATATGCCAACTGTGTCCTAACCCAAGTTAATCGGGTCTTAGAAACTGTAAGATCTGTCAATGATCAGATAAATATAAAATGTGATTTTATTCGGATGATATATTTTTTAGCTGGTTCAACATCCATTGCACTGCTTTGAGTTATTTAGAATATACATCGCCTTACTTTGTGTATAGGGTATTTAAACTAACTTAATTTAATTTAGTTTAAATTCACGCTTTAATAAAATAAAATAAATATATCGTATAGTTCATCGACAGCTGCTCAGCTGTGCGTTGTGTTGTCCGAAATTAAAAGAGGGGCCGGCCGGTTGCGTCTTCAACATATGAGAAATGCTCTTATACCTAATAAAATCTCAAATCTCATATGTAAAAAGAGAGGCAAATAATAGAGTAAAACTAAACAAAGAATTTTTGAACACAAATTACTAAAAGTGTTTGGAATGACTTGCAGAAATCAAAAAGTCAGCATGAAAATCCAAAAATATGGATCGCTTATATGTGCTTATCATTCAACATTGTTAAAAATTATAAAAACTGCTGAGTAGAAATTATTTGTTCAGTCTAAAATTTTTATTTACGAATGCAGACGGCCTACGACAATGCGGAGTCTAAAATTGTTAAGTAGTTTCATGCGGAAAGAGAGGAACGCAGTGAACTTGTTTCGGAACTTAATTAATCGAGTATGTTTTTATTAATTAATTAATTCATTTCATAGATATTAAATAGGTCAATGGCAAATTTGTTATTAATAAACACTGTTTTATTTGGTTTTTTTTATTTTATATTTTGTTTCTTTGTTTTGTTATTAAATAAATAGTAATATTCCACATAAACAATTAATATATATTTTTCATTTACTTTTAGAACTACTGCGTGGCGGCGGCAAATACTTTATCATGGGAGCATGCCAAACCATTGAAGAGCATACCAAGAGTAGGTGCTTATGACTTCATGATTGGCAGTTTACCCGGTGGTAAATTTCGTAATAAAGATATCGATGACGTAGTGCGTTTGCTACATGAAGAGAAAGGTGATATATTTATATGGAAAGGTATTCTCGGTCAGAGCGATATGATCTTTACGCAGACACCAGCTGATTTTGAAAATGTTTTTCGCCATGATGGCATTTGGCCACAAAGAAACTTTTTGGAAACAGCAGTATATCATCGAAAAAAGCATAGAGAAGATTTTTTCGGTGGCAATGGAGGCTTATTTGCTAAGTAATTAATAAAATAGAATAAAATAAAATAAAGTTGTATATTATTAATATATATAACATTAATAATATTTTTTAGTGATGGAAAAGATTGGGGTGATCTACGTTCATTAATTAATCCAATTTTAGTGCATCCAAAAAATATAAAAATATATTTGTCATCTTTGAGTAAAATTAATCAGGAATTTATTGACAGGTATACTGATAAATGATATTAAATTTTGAAAAAGTATTTAGCTTACAGAACTTTATTCTAGAATTCGAAAAATACGTAATTCTGAAACTCTAGAAGTACCAGCTGATTTTTCGAATGAAATTAAACGTTGGACGTTGGAATCAATTGGCATGGTTGCTTTGGATAGGCAACTAGGTTTAATTAACGGACATAATCCTGAAGCTATTGCATTTTTTAACAGTATAGAGAGATATTTTATACTTGTTCTAGATTTGGAGTTCAAACCGTCTCTCTGGCGTTATGTACCCAACAAGAAGTTTAATGAAGCTATGCAAATATTGGATAATATTATTACTTTTACTACAAAATATGTAGATGAAGCAATAGAAAGATTCGAAAAATCTCCCACCGATAAACCTGAAATAGAAAAAAGTGTTTTGGAAAAATTATTAAAAATTGACAAAAAAATTGCTACCATTACGGCTATGGAAATGTTCATAGGTGGCGTGGATACGGTTTGTTTTACAAAAAAATTATATTAATTGATTTTATAAATAACTTATATTACAGACATCATCCACTCTACAAGGAGTTTTGTTGTGTTTGGCAAAAAATCCAGAAAAACAAAAGAAATTACGTGAAGAAATTCTATCGATCCTACCTGAGAAAAATTCAGAGCTGACTGTGGAAAATATGAAAAACTTACCTTATTTGCGTGCTTGTATTAAAGAAAGTTTACGACTTCACCCATTGGCATTTGCAAATTTGCGTCAATCTAGTGTAGACCTAGTACTTAGTGGCTATCAAGTCCCGAAAGGTTCTAATATTAATATGGTATCTCTTAACTTGCTGAGAGATGCAAATTACTATTCACAGCCCAATGAATTCATACCGGAGCGTTGGTTAAGAAACGAGAATAAAGACGATACCTGCCCACATAATTCCGCTACTAAGAGCAATAATCCATTTATTTATTTACCATTTGGTTTTGGACCACGCAGTTGCATTGGTAGACGCGTAGCTGAAATGGAACTGGAAATTGCAATTGCACGCCTGGTACGAAATTTTGGAATAGAGTTTAATTATTCAACAGAAAAGCCGTTTAAGTGTTTGCAAGTTTACGTTCCAGCAATTCCAATGAAATTTAAATTTACCGACTTGGAATATTAAATTTAATAACTACATATTTTCGTATTATTATGGTATTGTAATTTAGTTGTTTATATTTAAAAATTTTTATTTATTATTATATTAAAAAATTTTAATAAATTTGTTATTTAAAAAAATATTCATTCTATATATAAATATAAATAAATAAATATTCTATATATAAAATTATATATAGAGTTTTAAATATGAATTGTATAATTTTTAGTTAAGAATTTTTTTTTATTAAAATAGATGTGTATAAATTTCATAAAATATGTCCTAATATATAGCTATCTCAACGTATATACCATATGCTACAAAAGCCTAAAATATCGTAAACACAGTGACTCTACAATTAAAAATTAAAAACAAATTGTAATGCTCTAATGT